ACACCGGGCCCAGGCGGGGGAGGTGGAGATAGTGTAGGTAGATGCTGCGCAAGTCCACTGGCACTATAAACCCCTGCGCAAGTCACCGTACCTGCTCCCATTGCTGCTGCAATTGTGGGGCACACGGTGGACATCATCGAAATCGATGGTCGAACTGTCGTGTATGATAGTGTAACAGATCGTTTAAGAGGAGGCCGTGACAGCCTGGCTCTCAGCCCCCAAGTCCGCCACTCCACATAACACACACAACTGGGCAAACTGCGTGGACTGAGTTGGGGCGTCAGTCGACTGCCCGTCTTCGTCCCAGATTCCGATCACACATGCAACAGGCGAGCCGCGTGAAGAAGCCGAGAAGAACACATCCGACTTGCGTGGGAGATGGTGGTTGGGTGCTTGAAGTGGGTAAGATTTATGTGCGGCGAGATGCTGGTGGGGGAGGATGTGATGGTGTGATGCAGCCGGCGGGGGTCTACCGCAAGTTTTTGTGGATGCACATGTGGCCTTATGAACCCATGCAGTGAATAAATGTGCGAGTGAAATGTAAACAGGGGAGGTGGATACTGCGGGTGTAGGTCGGTGCTCCATGCACTGGGTCACCAATCTCTGTGCGGTGGATCCGCAAGTGACCGACCGGGCCGATGCGTGAGGTGGATGTATGGGGACAGAGTGGACATGAGAAGTCGGCGGTGTCAGTATCAGTTTCGGTGGTGCTGGTGCTGGTGGTGGTGTTGGTGGTGGGCCAGGCGGGGGAGGAGGAGAGAGTGCAGGTAGATGCAGTGCAAGTCTACTGGCACTATAAACCCCTGCGCAAGTCACCGTCCCTGCTCCAACCTGCTGTGGGGCACACGGTGGACATCATCGAAATCGATGGTCGAACTGTCAGGTGGTGGGCGCGTTGGACGATGGACGTGGGTTAGGCTGAGCATAGTGGGTGTGCAAGATGTACTGAGTGTGATGGAGCTGGTGAGGGTGGGCCCGCTGTGCGGCGGAGTGTGGGCGAGCTAGATATAGTGAGTGTGATGGATGTGCTAGGAGTGTCGGGAACGCGGTTTATTTCGCTCTCGTGGACATGCATGTGCGGTATAGGCCCATGCGGTGGGTGAATGTGCAGGGACCGTGTGGACAGTGGAGGCGGATGCGGTGGGTGTATGTCGGTGCTCCAGACACTGGTCCACCAGTATTTGTGCGATGGATTCGCAAATGACCGACCAGGCCGATGTGTGAGGTGAATGTGCGGTCGAAATGTGGACAGGTATAGACCCCGTTCTCGTCATTGGTGTTGATGGTGACGGTGTTGGTGTTTGTTGGCGTGTCAGAATTGCGGTTAATGTTCATGTGCGTGGCGGGCACCACAGCGGCAGACGATCAGGCAATGGGGGGATGGAGGAGGAGGAGGATGGCCGGGGTCGTTTTGGAGGGCGAGCAGAGTTAGTTGACGGCGTGGGAGGCGAGGGAGAGGTGGATGGAGATACGACGTTTGGTGCAGTCCGAGTGTTGCAGTTGAGTCGAAGGTGTCCAGCAAGTCTAATTTGCGCCCAGAATACCCACTGACACTGTGGACACGTTGAGGGCAGTTGGGTGCTGGCGTTGTGATACAGTTGGGATTTGCGTAGTTCTCGTTTGGTTTTCGCGGAGGCGATGCGGTTTGTCTCGTAGATCGTTCCGTCTGTCTTCACTGTCCTCCTCCAGGTCGGTCGATCTCGAGCCGGGTCGATTTGCGGCGCCTCAGGGAAGTCTTCTGGGTATCCTTGTACCAACGGACTTGACCTTCTTGGCGGGAATCCGTCGCGACACCTCCATAGAAGAATCGTTTGGGTAATTGCTCGTCGTCCATGCGCACAAGGTGACTGTTCCAGTGCAGTTGCAGTTTTCTCAACATGACGTATATGCTGAGGAATCCCGTCCGATCTAATACGTCTGTGTCGGGGATCCGGTCCTGCCACCTCAGCTTCTGTATCCGTCGAAGACAGCCCAGGTGGAAGTGATTGAGCCTCCGCGTCTGGTTCCTCTACACCGTCCAGGTCTCTGCTCCATACAGCAACGTCGGCAGGGTGATTGCCTTGTGCATCTTCAGCTTCGTGTTGAGATAGAGACCGTGGCGGTTCCAGACGGTGTTCTACATACTGCCGAAGGCTTGGCTGGCTTCGGAGATGCGGCGGACAACTTCGTTGTCGATTTTGGTGCTGCGAGAGAGAGTGCTGCCCAGATACGTGAAGTTGTCTGCCACTTGCAGTTGGGTTCCGTTCACGCTAATTTGCGGCGCATTGTGGGCTGTGTTGGGTGGCGTTTAGTGCACGAAAACCATCTTCTCCATGTTGGTTATCAGACAGAAGTTCTCGCAGGCGGCGGAGAAAAGGTCCATGCTCCTTTGCATGTCCATTTCCGAGGTGGTGTTGAGGTCGCAATCGTCAGCGAAGATAAGTTCATGAGCGGCGGTCGTGGATACATGTGACTGGATGTGCATCATCCGGTGGGAGTTGGCCACCCGTCCCCATCGGATCTCGAGGCGTTCGTTGCGCTAGGCGTCCATCAGCATGGTGGAGAACATAAGACTGAAGAGGGTGGGCGCGAGGACGCAACCCTGATTCGCTCGGTTTGTCACTGCAAATGCCTCTGAGACAGCTTGATCGTCCGTTGCGCGCGCAATCATGCCATTGTGGAGCTGAAGCACCATCTGTGTGATTCGTTCAAGACAGCCGAATTTCCGCGTGATTTTCCACAGTCCGTCACAATTCACCGTATTAAAGGCTTTCGTCAGATCCACGAAGGTAGAGTACATGTGGGTCTGCATCTCCTGGCACTTCTCCTGGAATTGGCGGGTAGCGAAGATCATGTTCGTGGTCCCACGATGACGCGGAAGCCGCACTGGCCTTTCGGTGGAAGACCTTGTTCCAGGTGCTTGTTCAGGTGATTGAGAAGGATGTGAGCGAAAATGTTTCCGGTGATGTTCATCAATGAGATATTTCGGTGGTTGTCGCAGGGCTGGCGGTTCCCTTTCCGTTTGTGTAGATGTATGCTTGTAGCGTCCTTGAAATCCTGCGAGACTCCTCCTTGACGCTACACCACCTGGAAGAGCGTTGTCATATGATCCATGATTTGGGAGCCACCATGCTTATACATCTCAGCAGAGATCGCGTCCTATACGAACGCTTTCCCGCTTGAGGGCTGTTGAACGGCACTGACAGGTTCGTGGAGAGAGGGCGGTAGGTCGGCGTCAGCGTTGGTCTCCACTTGAGGCAGACGAGCGACGATGACGTCGGAGATTGTGGAGGGACGTTTGAAGATGCTTCTAAAGTGTTCGACCCTTCTCTGTTGAATCTGTGTATTTTCAGTGAGAAGGGTACCGCCGTCGGCGCTGAGAAGAGGAGGAGTTCCTTTGGTTGGCAGATCGCAGACAGCCTTGATCGCCAAAAATAAATTTGTCTGAATAGCATTGCCGACGAAGACAAGGGAGACTGGAATGGCCATTTCTGGCTTCTTAGACGTCGTCAACCAGTCATACCCAAACCCGAAGTGCGGAACACCCGAAGCTCGAACTCGCGACTTGTTAGTTAGAAGTCCACGCCTCTAACCACTGAGTCACGAGTCCGTTGCCCTGTCGGTTTTCGATCGGGAATATACAATGACAGTTCGACCATCGGTTTCGATGATGTCCACCGTGTGCCCCACAATTGCAGCAGCAATGGGAGCAGGTACGGTGACTTGCGCAGGGGTTTATAGTGCCAGTGGACTTGCGCAGCATCTACCTACACTATCTCCACCTCCCCCGCCTGGGCCCGGTGT